CGGTCCATGGGGTTATGATAGACATGCTCATCGCATTTGTAAATGTTCATCATGGTATATTAGCTTATACTTATGTTAATATCTGCATCATTGTTATTTTAATTTATATTTTATTTTAATTTACTAGTTTCTACACGCAACTTTTCCCATGTGATTGTAATTATATTGATTGACCGAAATAAAAAATAGTTTTAAGTTCTTTTTCATCACAGATACTAAGTATATGTTAAATTCACTATGATGATCGAGTCATTAAGACAAAAAATAAACAAATTCACAATATTATTAGTTTTTATCCGTAACTTTGTCTGCGTGACCGAGATATGTTGATTAATCGATATAATAATAGTGTAAGTCTCTGTCCACCCCAAATACTATGTACATGTATACCAAATTTCGCAAGAATTTATAGAGACGTCAAGATGACAAGAGGTAAGAAATAAACTAATTTCATAATTACTTATTTCAACTTTAATGCACAGTGAAATTCTATGTACATTTGGTGGACTTAATATTGGATGGTGTTCCCTACTAGTCAACTATTGGGTGAACCAAGAAATAAGCAGGTGGTGCACCATTGAATTGAGGAAATATAAAGTAATACTTAATATATTCATATATTGTAAACATATAATTAGACTAATGTAAATGTACACATAATATGTTAAAAAAAAAAAAAAATATATATATATATATATATATATATATATATATATATATATATATATATATATATATATATATATATATATAAAATAGCACTATAATAAACAATTACCTAATTGTATTAGAAGAGCAAATAAAACAATCCAACAGAGACCAGCAAGGTAAAATTTAAAGGGAAAGTGAATAAGAAAGAAAAGTAAGAAGGAAAAGTGAGAAAAGATTGTCATACTTAGTGTTACTAGGTGTTACCTCTGTATCCACATTCAATATTATGTTCATAAATGAACTATGTACTATCAAATATAATCCAATAATAATCCTTATAAGCCCACAGGACATAAACTACGAAAGTTATTATCGTGTCTTCTAATTATAACATTCTTGATTTATTCGTAAAATTATAATCACCGTTTAATACATTACCACTCCCATGGCAAATGTCATAGACATTTTAAACTATTCTGCCGTAGGGGGCAATTAAATTTGATGCGCAAGCGCAGCCCGCTATAGTAATAGTATGGTAGGCATCGTCTAATAAAACGATATGACCCTAGGCAATATTTTTAGTTTAATTTTATTCTTAGAACGGTAACAATACTCGTCTAATTTCTCTCAATTACATGGTCGTCTTTCACTTACTTTATCGATTATTTTTATTATCTTTTATTTTTATCCGACTGCTATGTAACATCATAGATATAGGTATTATAAATATTAAACATTGTCGCATTAGGCCTGTAATAATAGCGTTGTAGTAAACGAGTAAGTAAATAAATAAATAAGTTATAGGGAATATTCCTAAACACGAATATGTCAGTGCCATTTTCTTATAATGTAATATATATTAAACGTTGAAAGGTATAAATATAATATTTTTAAAACTTATTTTAAATATTTTTAATGATAAACTTATTCTGTGCTATACGAGACGAACGCACTATGATGCACAGTGCCGTACGCTCCTGAAGAATATTTTCGGATGAAGACGAAATAAATGTCGGAAACATAACATAGTAGATATAAAATTCCAGTCTATATATATGTGTGTATGTATTATGTATATATATAATATTATTCGATATAATATTTATTACTGCTTCCATACACTTTTTGTTTTTACCTAACGGTTAGCTGGTATAGAATATACAATATTAAACTCGCTATTTGTACAAAGTTTATTGTGTAATAAAGAATAAATTAGTAAAGAATAAATAAATAAAGAATAAATTAACCATACGCCTTTGTCCAAACGCTATCGCTACTTATACGTACCTTTTATCTATTTACTTTAAGGTCTTAATCTCTGCCGTAGAATATAGGAATTCTACGAACGAATATATTGTGAAAACAGCAATACGTATATTGTCCCAGTTTGTTTACACGAGTGTTTCATTAATCACGCTGCGAGCAAGCTGTGAGTCCACTCATTTATATTTCGGTACTTTTAGTAGGTACCAACTTATTCACCTATTTCTCGTCAATAAATTTATCATTACTTTGTCATTTGACATCACTATTTTAAAATTTGTCCAAAGTTTATCCATTTTATTTAAAGTTTGAGGGATTTTTATCTTGCTTTAAGAAATATGGATAGATCGAAATAATTACCCTACATGCCTATATATATACAACATGGGGCAAATGAGCATGTGACTCACCTGATGGTAAGTGACTACCGCCGCCCATGATCACCCACAACACCAAAGGCATTGCAGATGTTCTGCCGGCTGCTGTCGTTAGAAAGTTTCACGGTATAGAATTAGTAGGGTTATGTTTATCTGAATATGACCATGAGTAAGTAGGCACTATAATATATATTAGACTAATATAGACAAAATTATAATCTCCTCCTTACGGAACTAGGTTAAAAACAAAGTGAAAATGCTCCGCAAATAATGTGGGAAGAGAAAATTCTCAGTAGCTTTAGATAGTGAATCGCATAGTTTAGATAATGTGCTCGTATCTAATTGCTCCCTTATCTGATAGTACGACAGTGTATGGGAAAGTGGATCTAGCAACATTTCAAATGCACCTACTTTCACCGCAGTGGTCAGCTCGGTTGCAATAATGTATTGTGATGTTTTTGTCTGTAGAATTACTACGGACGCTCGCACTGGAGGGCTAGTACTCGTATCTATTATTACCTAGCAGCTATAGTCCGAGCGTTGTAATATGACGCGAATGACAACTTATAAATTCTTAGTTTCCATTTTAAAAACTGTTATACGAGGTTTGTCCGGAAAGTACGTATAAAAGTTTTTTAAAAATTTTATTTTACAATTATTCAGGTAAATCAATTTTATCCCCTTCAAAGTACTCCCCCTGTGACATAATGCACAACGCCGTTTCCACTGTGAGAAGGCTCCTTGAAAGTCCTCTGGTTGTAGGTTTCTCAAGCTTTTTGTATCTCATTTATGTCCCCCAAATGCCGCCCCCGAAGTACCAATTTGGTTTTTGGGAACAAGAAGAAGTCACACGGGGCCAAATCGTAGGGGGTGTTCGGTTAATGGAATTTTTACTCAAAAACTCACGGACAACAAGAGAGGTGTGGGCAGGGGCATTGTCGTGGTGAAGAATCCAACGCCCCTCTCGCGCCAATTCTGGACGAACTCGTGCCACACGAGCTTTGAGGCGTCTGAGCACAATATTTTCCATCAACTGTCTGGCCTGGAGGGACGAATTCTTGATGGACAATCCCCCGAACATCGAAAAAAACAATCAACATTGTCTTGACATTTGAGCGGGATTTTCTTGATTTTTTTGTTCGTGGTTCCCCGGATGTCTTCCACTCTTTGCTTTCACGGCCATTCTTGCCGAGTTTCGAGAGAAACTTGATTACGACGCGCTGCTCTTCAACGGAAGCGGGCTCCATGCCGATCACAGATACCGCACGGCGGTCAGACCAGAACTGAAGCATTGTTAGGGACATAAGGAAGGGGTCCTGCGCTTACCTGGCCTCCCCACTCCTCTTTCTCGCATTCCAGAACACTTTTATACGAACTTTCCGGACAGACCTCGTAAATATACCAGTTTACATAACACATTTATAAAAAATATCTTTTTGTAATTAAAATCATCGTATTTGGATTCTGAGTGTCCAAATCAAACAGTCCATAATATTAACGGAAACTCATATGTTCTCATGACCAATTGTTATATAAGGTATATAATAGTGACCTGTCACTCGCACCATGCAATGACGCACGGAGTACGTTGAATGCTGCAAGTAATTAAAACCGACAGCCAAAAGAAAGGATGTCATATTTGGTCTTTTCTTAGTAATAAATGTCCAAGTCACGTAATCCTATTAATATAATAATTATGAAAGTTTGTAATGATGTATGGATAGATGGGTGAATGAATGTTTGTTAATCTTTCACACAAAAACTATTGAACGGAACTGAATGAAATTTGGTGTACCTGTAGGTTATATCCTAAATTAGCACATAGAATACTTTATGTACTCATTGATCCAAGTGAAGCCGCGGGATACAGCTAGTATGTAAATACATATTACTAAACATTCTTTAAACATACTTTTTCAATAAGTTGTTTTTATGATTTTTGAATTTTTATATTAAAAAAATATTCTTAAATACACACTGAAAACTTTCCAATGTTATTTATACTCGTATAAAGATAGAGATGTACCTAACCCACCTATTTTTGAATGTTTAAAGAATATATTTTTCATCCGACTGACCCACTCGACACCTACGGTCAGGGGATTTTTCCGAGATAAATTGCTGACAATTTGTTAGACGGACCCATAGTCGTTGCAAATAACGAGAAGTACGGTAGAATTCACTACTATTAGTAATAGGGCTCATATTTTGTTATTTTTGACAATTTCATGTATAAGCTTACCATGACTCGTGTTCAGGGGTGGACAATAATGTATTATTAAGGTAAGTTAATGTCACATTATGTCGCTTCCCCATAAGAAACGATATGAGCCTACCATTACCAAAATTGTCAAGCGACATGGTATAAGTTAATTAGGTAGTTTGATTGTTCTCTCTTACACTGGAGTATTATGCTTTGTTTCTTTATTCGCCTCTCGATAGTTGACATCTTGTGCATGAAACACTCCGTTTTTCGTGACACTACAAATATAATAAAGGAAAAGAGAGGGAAGAGAGAATAGTTTTTATTTGCAAAGTAAATGTACGTGTATGTGTATCATACATTTAGAATATTCTGTTATTTTTATCATATATACATGGTGTATATACAAATATCTTACGTACTCAATTGAGAAATTGTATGAGTAATACAAAGCGATTTAATTAATGTAGGGTTGTAAAAATAACATTATAAATAAGACACCATCATTTCATATTTGTAATAAGCATAATATTTTGCATTTTATTAATTTTATTCCACGTACATATTACGTATTTGCATAATAAAAAACATAATATCATAGTCCATATTATCGCCTTTAATGATCAGTTTGGCGGATTTTCTGCAATGTAATTAACTTAAGTTCTATATTTGTCTCTTTTTGTTTACGTGATGGAAATATACAAAATTTGCATCGTGTATGACTTAGATAATACAATGCCTTAATCTATGATGACCATTAATATTTTGACATTCACAAAAATAATTTATATATTATTTTTAATCAGCGTTTATAACATATGTATATAACCTACATAAAATAGATTAAATTAAATGCTTAATAAAAGTATAAATAAATAATTAAAAACAGAAATGTCTATGACAGTAATGATGTGCTTGATCCGTATTTTTTATTGATATATATAAAAATATTATTAACAATATAATGTATATTAATATTGCATATTTTTATATTTATATATACGAGCGAATATAATACGACATACGACAAAAGAGATAAGAATAAATAGAACAAAAGTAAATCCGCCAAAGAAGTAAAATCGTAACTATCATTAGACCACTGCATATGTGGGTTCCGTAGCCACACCGCAATTATTGTCGCGTGCAGAAATATGCATGTACCCGTCTATACCCCAGTTTGAACCCCAGGAGTTTTTTATTATCCAATAGGTATCCCCATTTTCTTCACCATAACCAACTAGAGTGACTTCGTGGTCGAGGTTGGTTTGGGTGCTGAAATAAATAAATAAATAAATAAATGTATTATAATACAAATATACAATAAATATAATAAGAGTATAAAAAACATACAACTAGGTATATAATTTATTATTCATCACCAATTTATATCTGCGATTTTGTCCGCGTGAGCGGGGTATGTTCATTGGGTATGTATTTAAAATAGTAAGTGTACCCAAATTTTATGACAATTGGTTGAACCATTAAAGCCCCAAGAGCTAATAAACAAACAAATTTACTTAAAATTCACACTTATAATATAAGTAAGAACTTATTTACAATACAATAAAACATAAAAAAATGATTTACAAACACACTGTTGAAATTGGTTGAACCATTAAAGCGCCAAGAGGAAACAAACAATCAAACTTATATTCACACTTACAATATAAGTAAGAACTTATTTACAACACAATAAATAAAAAAATATTAAATTTAATCATCATAACACATTAGCGTCCGTTTGTTTGGTATAGAATTTATTTAATAAATGGATGATTTTAGTCTATGATTTACAAACACACTGTTGAAATTAGTTGAACCATTAAAGCACCAAGAGGAAACAAACAAACAAACTTACATTTACACCTACAATATGAGTAGAAACTTATTTACAACACAATAAATAAAAAAAATATTAAATTTAATCATCATAACACATTAGCGTTCCTTTGTTTGGTATAGAATTTATTCAATAAGTGGATGTTTTCAGTCTATGATTTACAAACACACTGTCAAGGTGGTTCGGTATAGGGTTTTGTTTTGAGTTTTCCTTCCCTTGCTATTGTGTATTGTGCTTTATTCCACTGTTTGCTTATTATGATGACCCAGATATGAAAAGAGCTATTTATAATGTAAACACATCGTAGTCTTATTGCGTAACCACACGGAAAATACTTATATCATTATCATCATCTCAGTCATTATCTGTCCACTGCTGAACATAGAGTTCCATAGACTGCTATAAGAAACCGTCTTGAGTTACCTGCATCCATTGACTTTCTGCAATGCATTGGAGGCCTATATAAAGCATTTATGACTAGCTATACACGCATTTTATATATTTTATAAAACGAAAAAAGTGTTTAATAATTACTATGCTAATAAATAAATAAAAGTATTGACTTCGTAATTAGAATATGCACTTCCAGCTTACAATTTATTTTTATGATTTTATATCTATTAGACAAATTAAATTTATTAGATAATAATAATGAATATACTATACCATACCATGAGAGATCGTAAAAGATACCACCAGAATAAAATGAAAATGAGCCACTTGCATCTATAGACGTTGATAATGGACCGTGGTTTATTAATGCCACCTGAAATAATAATTAACGTATTAAAGGAAGAAGAATCTCTCATGAGTTAAAAACCCGCTTTTATTAAATATACGATTTATTTTGTATAATCTGATGATAAAATTTTATTATAATTTGTTTTAATAGAACTTAATCAAAATGTAAACAAGCGAATGATTGCGATGAAGTCTAATAGTAAATATAATATATCAACTCCCAGCAGCGGTATATCCGGACGAGATACGGCATTGAAACCTTCAAGAATAGAGCATATTTCTTCCTAGAAAGCTGGCAATACACCTGCGATTTCTCTATGTCACGGATGCGTATGGGCGGCGGTAATCACTTACCATCAGGTAAGCCACATACTCGTTTGTCCGCTATGTTATAACAAAATACAATGATTAATTAAATATTTGATTGGATTTTTTTTGTTTAATTCGGTTTTTTGGTTTAATTGGTATGTGTCTAACTGCCAATACTCGAAGATTGACCACCCCTATTACTACTAGATGTTCCACAATCTTTCATATTGGCCATCAATCTCCGACTGTCATTTTGTTCACGCATGTTTTACGAGACGCGTTTCACCTCAAAACGAGGTATCTTCAAGCAAATTATTAGATCGCTGCTAGAAACCTAGTATTAACTTTTCGGCACCCAAACTCAGTCATTCTAATAAAATTATCAAATAATCAATGATATGGATTTCCATAAGATAACACATAGTTCAATAAAAAAATAATTAAATATTGTGATTTGTCACTCATTTCATTTACAGTATTTATGTGATAATTTCGATAAGACTTGGTTAAATTTTCATTCAGTTTTATTGGAACAAATTATAGTTCGTTAACACACTCAGCGCGGGATGTCTATTAAACTCGGCGGGTTATACGAAATCCATTGTATTATAGTTTACAGAAAACGGATTTTTTTACTTTTTGGGAATATGTAATTAAATAAATTAATATTTAAAATTTCAACTACTTACTTTAAGGGCAACAATACTGTTTGGCGTGACGTCTGTAAAACCCAGTATTGGATAAATTGTAGTCATGTTTTCAATAAGACAATAACCATCCTGAAATATGGAAATACGATTATTGTAATAGTTAAAATGAGGTCAAAGCATTTAACAATCAAATTGATGAAGACATGCACAGAATATACAGTGAAATGGAGAATGTTTTTCCATTAATTAAAGTCGCTTAGGTACAAATACATTGCATTAAACAGGTTGTGCTTGTTTATAGTAATAATAAAAAAAAAGTAATTTAAAAGATAAAAGAAAACAAAATATTTACTAACTACCAGTTTTATAAAGGAAAACTCTTTTATTTTAATAAAATTAAAATCTTATAAATAAAAGAAGTAATCATTAAAACCGTGTATCCTAACCATAAATAATATGGTACACATTTTGATTGCATGTTTTTATTTTGTAATTAAAGAAATTAAAATTATTATTTTCTAGTTTTCTCATACTTTGGAAATACAGTTGTTCAATGCTATTGGTAGAACGTTTCTTTGAAATAAAATAAATAATAAATCTCTACACAGTATATTACATTTGTACTAATAGGCGACAGTACTTACTGCCCCTACTGTCATAGTTATCACTTATTAAACCTGTATATTGAAAGCGGAATTAATGATGCCTTCGTGGACTGGTCCCATATCTCAGAATGTCAGTCAGCGACGTGTGACATCGTCGAGGCTGTTCAAGTTATTTATGGACAATTATTGGGAAACCTGAAAGAGCTTCTATGCGGAAAGAAGATAAGGGCATTACCCATAAATTATTTCTCGTGTGGCTATTATGATACTACAGAATCAGTAACGATATTTGGGATATATAATAATAAGAAAATCTTATAAAAAGCATGCATTGACTATTTTGCAATATTTTCAATTAAGAAAATATTATTGCATATATACAAATATTAGGGCATGAATTTTACAGGATTATTTGTAAAAGTAATAAATATGTTGAATATTTAATTGTTTGAATCTTTTGAATGTACGTAAAAATCTTTAATGAAGTTTTGTTAACATCCATTATATATAATCTTTATATTTTTCATTTGATAAATATTTAAAAACGCTCGTAAGAACTTTGTTCAAATCTCTTTTTATTTATTTTATTCATAATGTCAGACTTACTTTTATAAATCTTTTATGAATTTGTAAGAGGGTTTTGTAACTTTATTTCAAATTAAGAAAATAATCTATAAGAAAAAGTCTCAACACTTGGTCAACTAAAATACGTAGATTTAATTAACCCTTGGCATTTTTATGAATACGAGGTGTTTCTCATACATTTTGGATGAATTGCGGATGTATTCGCGCAGGAACTTTCAAAGAGAACTTATAGCGATATATTATTATTTTAATATTTACTTGATTAGCATAAGGTCCATATTCTTCTTCAGTAGGCAGGCCATATTGTATCATCCATTGGAAGGCTGCGGTGTCACTACCACCGTCACACCCGAATGCACCATATCTAAATTTAAAATAATAATTATGTTATGGTTTGTCTTTGAGTTAATTTTTATAAAAGATTGAGTTTTATCATAATCCATCATTTTTGCCAACTATGACCGTACTAAGTGCGTAAGTGAAAGAATATAAGCGCGACCATGGATTTGTCAAAGATCCACTGATACAAAAAATTAAAGATGGACACAGGCTATTCATCATCATCATCATATCAGCATTTAACTGTCCAGTGCTGAACATGAGCCTTGTCCTTGGGGGGTTTTGTCAGTAGGTGGATTGGCAACCACAGTTAGGCTTTAGAGATGTTTTAAGAGAGACGCTGCTCCCCATCCCTCGCCGTCCCTTAGTCGTCTCTTACGACACCTACGGGAAAGGAAGGGATGGCCTATTCTATGCCGAGAGCACACAGCACCGGCGACAAAAATTACTGATTGTAGACAATTAAAATTGGCCGTGTCAATGTTGAATCGACGACTGTCAAATCGTTTATTATATTAAAACCTTAAAAACAGTGATAGGGATAATAACGGGACATTGCCCTTAAATAAATATTTATACACATAGGGGCATACATTATAGGGGCTACAGACAGCTCTCTATGTCTAGACTGTTTTGAAGCCGAAAAAATGAATCCTGGCTGGCCTGGCTTACGTAATCTTGGAATATGTAGCTGTGGCCTCTCAATGTTCAGAAATCCTCGGATCAGTGAAGTCGCTCCGTGAGGTCTGTAAAGATTTCAGGAAGCTTCTGTGCTTCTGTGCGGACCTGGGTTAGTTGTACTAGCTACATACGTATAACGGCCCAAATGAAAACTTAGTGCGGAAAAAAGAGTCCAATTTATATATATATATATATATATATATATATATATATATATATATATATATATATATATATATATATATATATATATATATATATATATATATATATATATATATATATATATATATATATATATATATATATATATAAAAGCGTTCCTTACTTACTCAGTTATCTTCGTGAATACGAGTAATTTTATATGTTGTTTTTTCAAGGTACAGTTTTCATAACATAAAAAATACTCTTGTAGTGGATTTTTTTTCTTTAAGAAAAAAAGTCAAAATCTAATAATAATACTCACGCAAGACTTCTAAGACTATACGAGTATACAAGTGGATTCGATATAATACATACTCCCATGCACAGTCAATTAGAGCTTGATTACTAAGAGTTAGCAGTCGGCCTCCATTTTTGCGAGCAATCGCTCCTTCGACGGCTGCTGTCGTTCCATACGTCCAACAAGAACCACAGCTTTCTTGATCTGTTAAAAAAAAAACAATTATTCATCCATCATTGGGGTATTTACTATTGAAAAATTATGGATTTTATATGGATATAAAATTTTATAAGCCTCTGTAGTTTTGGTTGTGTATAGGTGTATTTAAGATTATTTTCTGGGGGCAAGTATGTTGTGAAAGGAGGCTTGTATGTGAAAAGGCGCATAATGTACTCTCAGATATGCCTTTGCGTATAGTTGAAAGCTTTGCTCGAATCCTGAAGCGAGCACTAGAGTAATCTGTATCTCCATTTTACATATGCTTATGTTGTGTCTAGTACAGTATTATATTATCTGTGGTTATACAACTACAGATACCAACACATATAAATGTGTCAGTCTGTGAGTTGATTTCTATGTATACGTAGTCATAAATACACTAAAATAGGTATAAATATATCTCATGGGGCATCCTTTTTTCAAGTTAGATACTTACTTCTGACAGGATTGACTAAACCTAGAAGCCGTGTATCAAATTCCGTTGGCAAATTCTGCGACAACTCTTCTAATTTTTTATCATCGTAAGGAAACGGTATATTGCCGGATTTTTTCTGCTTCCGTCTTATTAAACCCTTGTGTCTTTTCATTTCCTCAGGAGTTCGATCAGCGAACTGATTGATTGCCAATTTGTAACCAAGGTTTTGACTGTTAGTTGTTCTAATTAACCTGGATATGGAAAATAAAATAATCTACCAATGAAATTTAACATTTTTCCCTAATAAATTATTAAAAAACGATAAAAGATTTTTCCTGTGCTAACACATTGCGTCCAGAGGTTAAGTAGGAGACGTTAAGTTTTGATTTATTTTTTCATAAGGGACAAATAAGCATGCAGCTATAATGTGTTTTTATTTAGGTAATTTGTTAAATTTTACTTATATTCTCTTAAAATGAGGTTAATGATTTCATTTTCACCATATTGAGAATAAAATGGGATTATCTTTATCGACGTGTCTGTTTTCAGAAGATTTTTTATAAATTTTCCTATGTGGACGATTATCTGTGAGCATTGATCGATATGAGATTAAATATTGGATATTCAGTTTAAGGATATAGTTGGCGACACATAAAAAATAACGTAACGTAAGTAGTAAATAAAGTATAGGAGGAAGGTCGGAAAGAAGAATTTGTAAATCCATCAATGTTTTAAAAATTAATCTAAAATTGATATCACTTAAAGGTTTCATAGGTATTTGTTAGTATTAACTAACTACCTTACCTCAGGTTTTTCTCGAAGATACTCCGTCTCATGGCGTGCTCCTTTTTATGAGCGTATTTTTTATCGAATTTTAATTTGAATCTGTTGATGATAAAAATTATTAAAAAATAATGTTTTATATTATGTATGTAAATAATAATGTTGTTTGTTATATTTAACAATGAATTCATGTATAGAAAAAGCAATTATTTAAAGGCAAATATACAGAATAACAAATTACAAAATAAAAAAAAATTAAAATCCTAGAAAAATATTAGAGTAATTTATAGAAAAAAATATTATACATTTTTAACATTATTTATAAGTTTTTTCTATATTTGTTACTGAGAGTATATCTTATACAACCAAATTATTTTATACCATTTTTATTTCTTTTTATTTTGAATTTTGTATTTTGTTCTTACTTTTGGTTTATTGAAAAAGTCTTAAAACTAATAATTCAAAATTAAAGGCATTATAAAGAATATTTAAGCAACAATAGTGATTGAAATAAGAATGTACGGATAATATTGACATAGGAAAACATACGATTCGAAAGCTCTGTTTACATCTTCTTGATTCTCGTAATGTATAATGGGATCTTTGACTGCCTTAGCCTTGTTTGTCGTCTCATAGGAGCAATCATCTGCAAAAAAATTCCATGATATTTATTATTTCTTAAAAAAATAATTAATGACAATTCGCGACATATTTTTGTGTTAAAATATCTCTGTTAGATGAATTTACTACATTTATATATGTACAGTAGGATGATTGATATAAGTATATGAATTAGTGTCGATTTTATGTAAATTTTTATGTTTTATTTGTATTTAAAATATTAATCTATTATCTCATTATACTTTATTTATTTATTTAACTCTTTATTGCACCAAAAACATAAAAATATACAATGACAAGCATTTAAAGTGAAATATAGAAATATAAAGTTTAGATTAAAATATATACATAAAGGTACAAAAGACGGTCTTATCGCTATGACAATCTCTTACAGACAACCTTTGAATAAAGGAGAACAGATAAATATCATGTAATACATATACCTATTATAGCAGCAATATTAAAAATATCCTAAATAAACTCAACTTGAGTTTTTATTATTATTATTTCAGCCGTTAACTGTCCACTGCTAGACATAAGTCTTCCCCTATAAGGGGAGTTTTGCCAGTAGTTGCCATATTTGGCAGGCGGGTTAGCAACCGCAGTTTGGCCTTTGAGGATGTTTTAAGAGGGACGCTGTTGCTCATCCCTAACTCTCCTTTAGTCGCCTCTTACGACACCCACGGGAAAGGAAGAGGTGGCCTATTTTATGCTGGGGCATACACGGTGAACTTGAGTAATTATATGCAATATTATTTTAGTAAAATTAGGTAAAAAAAGAGTATATTACAATAATGAAAATTGTCATATATAATTATTAAATATTTTAAGTTTCACAAATGATGGCAGAAATATTAATATTAATAAAATTAATTAAGCTTCTTTCACTGCGATGGTAGTAAACAAGCATATGGCTCGTCAGATGGTAGGTGGTATTTGCAGCTTATATAGCATCTTTTCTTATAAATTAATTATATGATATGCTTGAAATTTGATTAAAATGTAAAATAACCGATACTTACATTGTGATATATTAAAGACAGAGTCATCGAATTCTAAGTCGTAATTATAAAATTCCCAGATGTAATGGGAGTCCAAGTAACCATGTTCATTATTGTACTGTTTTTCTTCAAACCTGTTAAACAAGAGTAAATATTTTGCCATGATAAATCTAAAATTAAATAAATAAACGAGCCAAGACTATGTAAATTGTGCATTTTTAAATGTAAAGATAAACATTACATCTAACTAAAGAGTTTCGCATAATCATATATTATACGATTTTTTAAAAGAACTAATATCCAAAGTGGTTCAAATATAATTATTTAAAATTTGTATAAAAAAAGTTTACAACATTATCGAATTCATAAATTTTATCTATTATCCTATATATCAGGGGTGACCGGCTTGACTAGACCCAAGATCTACTGTTTACTAACGGAACACAGTGCGATCTACCAATTACATTCTTCTTGAAATCTCAAATGAAACAACATAGTTCAATACACAATTATGTAATAATGTAGTATTTTTTGTTTTATTAAAAGGGAAAATATAAAACTGAAAATTATTCTTAGTAACTACTTATTTATATTAGTGTGAGCATTGTGTCTGATCATCTTCTGCTAGATTAGCAAAATATTATATTTATAGCCTTGCCACGATCGATTGCATTGATAATCGCGATCGACCGGTTGGCCACCTTTGTTATATATAATAATTATCCCATATTATGAGTTACGGAATATTGTCATTAATTACGCACACTCTCGCACACACACACATACACACACACACACACGCACGCACACATGCGCACACACACACGCACGCACACGCGTACTCACACACACAAATTTCATTGATTATTTTATTTTTGGTAACTTTTGTTAATTTTCTCCTATGTTATTGTTATTTATATTTTATATCCCATGTTATGGAGCGAGCGTTAATAGCTGCGACACAGTTTCTTTGTAACTAATGTAGTTATTATCAATCCTAAAATAAACTAATAAATATGTTTATTTTTCTTTATTTAATTAATTTCATATTTACTCACCTACCAATTATCTCAAGGTGAGTATCAACTGAATATTTTTTAATATTGAAGAGACATGAAAATAAAAAATGGAAACACAATGTTTTGATTTAATTAAGAATAATGTTTCTTGGTAACTGGAGACAATTGATTAATGAGAATTGAAAGAACTCATTATCATCATGTTTGATGTCTCCGACAACATTGTCGACGTTTGTTTGAAAATTTTTATTATTATATTTACATTTTTCTTTGTTTCAGATATATAGTTCATAATTTAAATACATTTAATTATTTTAAAGTAAGCAATGCATTAAAGTAAGTAAGACTTAAAATATTAAAAAAGAAATACTTTAAAAATAAGTTAATATAATCTTGCGAATGTTGAAGATATCAAGTAAAAGTTTGAAATTAAAGATTGTGTCTCATAAAAACCGATTTTAATTGTGACAAAACCAACTATTTTCATTTAAATATTAAATTACTGAACCGATTTGATAAAATTTCTATTAAATCAATCTGTAAGTATACTGTTTCAGATATAAAAAGATTTCCCAAATCGGTTTACAACTGACGGAATTATCAGGTAACAAACATAAAAAACATATAAGTGAATTTAGAATCTCCTTTTTTTGAAGTTGATTGAAAACAGAGATAGATTGAGAAGCTGTATTCCGAAAGGTTCTCAACCTTCTGATGTCAGTACAAATTTATTTGTTAATTGGAATTTTCTAGTAAATAAAAGTAGGAAAATGTAATTATTTACCTTATTGGTACTGTTCCATTGACCTCGTTAGAAAAAGTAACCCATAGAGTGGATCTGGTCTCATAACTTCCATAGTCGGTTACAGAATAATATTTGACACAAGACTTATCATTTATTGTATCTGGACCTGTATACGTAAAGCGATATACTAGTGATATATTAAGCAGTGAAAGGTCAGTATCAACAGTGAATCATATTTATCTTTGAAATTTGAAGTTCACAATGCTTATATTAGAAACACCTATACTATATATGTAATATATTATGATAATAAAAATCATAATAATATATTACATTTTTGATTCGTAACATTTATGAAAAAAAAATGATAAACGTACATATATAAAGAATAGATTTAATTTTTAGATGGAATGAATGGAATGGATGAAGTCTCCTCTTCAAATGCTTCGACAAAAACAGTCATTTTTTAAGAATGACGATTTTAATATAGTATTATTCTAAATTGGCGATTTTTATTATAACTAGTAAGTTAAAATTAAGTAAATTAATGATTGATAGTATTTGAAGTAATGCTTTTCATTATTTTAAAGTTATTTTCTGCAAAATTTATACTGAAAAATACATCATATTTTATATTAACTTAAATCAATTACTGTGACTAATATTTTAAATGATTAATAATTAATTTTAAAATATATAGTATCTGGGAATAAGTTTTGTAGGTTTTTAATAGAAAAATATAGACATCTACCTTGAGATTCAAACTCGTAATCTGTAGATGGTAAAATAGTCTCAACCTCTTGACGGTCGAATCTAGTACCTTTCTTTATTGTGCACACCATTTTATTTGTTTCATCGTTTGTAGTCTGTGGGTGAATCTAAAAATATTTCATAAATACTTTCAATTTTGAATAAGAACACAAGAATCTATTTTTTTTTTAAGAAGAGAAAAATAAAATTGTCTTCTGTTCACGTTGGTAGGATAAGACTTAATGTTCACTTACTACCCGTAAGTGAACATTAAGTCTTTTTAGGTGGCCCATAGTGATGAATTCACCAGCAATTAACCGCAACAATTTCCAGGGCAATCGCGTAGATGCCAACTTGATAGGGTATATTTTTAGAAATAGCGAGTTTCAGATCTATTTGTGAAAAGTTCGAAACATTTTCGAAAATATATGTTTGAAAATGAAAATCGATGCATTTATTCAATTCCTGTTAATTTATATCTATTCTGCAGGATTCAGTTTTTAAATATTTTTATATTTATAGATATGGAAATAGTATGTGTACAGGAACCAAATCGGTTTCTCTAGATCAATGTGCAGAGTGTGCACCAATTTAACATTTATTTAATTAAGCATTTTTTAAATCCTTATTATTATTACAAAATTGAAAACTCAACTCAACTCGTCGACCAAAATATATTATTATTTATAAAACAAAATAAAACAAAGAATTTATTCTTCGCATACAACTATTGTTATTTTTTTTTTAATTATACTTACTGAGTATTTTAAGCCATAACTGACTCTCGAACTAGATGGTACTATAATTGACTTTACAGCACCTTTATTATAGTCGATTCTAGATCTTTTCGGCGTACGCCTGGAAACGATGTTGATAAGTAATAAAAATATGCTATAAAATATAGGAATAAAGTCCATCAATTATAAAAAAAATACATATTAAAATTGGTATAAAATTGCCTAAACACGATATATTGTGTTACATGTAAAATACACGCAGAAAAATATAAGCAAATTTGTCTTCTTTTAAAGACACATTAAAATATGTTATAATGTTATCGTATTTTTCATTAATTATTAAATATTTATTAAAAATAATAATAATTATATAATATTTTATCTCACCATATCTTGTAGTCCTCAACTAAACCAGAATCTAGATACAGTTTAATGGCTTGGCACGAAAATTGTTCAGGCCACTCCAACTCATTTTCTGAACTTCCACCATTATCTGTTAACAAATAATTAAATGTTTTTACACCTACATGTAGGTGTAAAGAAATATGCAATATAGAATGGCAAACAAGCTGATGAGAACTTAAGAGACAACGTGTCGCTTAATGGAGAGTGGTGACCGTAGCCTATAGACATACTCGCATAGCATTATTGACATCAGAGATACAGTGTTACATAGTAATCCTACTATGAGGTACCATGGTCACCATAATATACTATTGATATCATGGTGCTCATGGTCTGTAAGCGGGGATTGCTATTTTTCATAAGGTGACCTATAAGCTTGTTTGTCAGCGTCAGTAAACAGATACTTCATCCATAAATTAGTTTTGAAAAAGATGGTCATAATAAATATTTAAATGAAATTTGTATAAAATGAAATATAATACACTCAAATAAATAATATGAAGAATTACTCACTTATTTTTTCAGAGGCTATCAACGTAACACATAACAATAGACATATATTTAACAGAAACATTTTGATACTGTACTGAAATATCATAGTATATGTTATACAGCGAATTTGGGATTTATTTATAGTTTTAACTATCAAAATATTTTATATTAATTGAACGAACTGCGACGGGAAAATATGGATATGCTTAGAGATTTTAATATATATATTTTTTTATACAACTTAGAATGGCAAACAAGCTGACGGTCCATCTGATGGAAAGTGGTAACCGTCGCCTATAGACATGAGCAGTACCATGGACATAACAGAGTATACTGTTTCACCCATGATACCCCCCATGCGTTTCCATTCCTGAGGACTCAGGTGTTACTCCTCTGTACCCAGTAAATTCACGCCATATCCTACTCTTCAAACTGAAACAGCCATGCAAACACAGCTGCTTCACGGTTGAAACACGAATGGGACAGAGGCACCCAGACAATCGACTTTGGCACAAAGTCTCCCTCTGGAAGGAATATTTATATCAAATGTGTATATATATAGTTATGTACCATTTAATATATTTACATTCATAGATAGTTATAGTCCATTTTTGTGTAGGTACATATATCTATACATTTATACGTCGTAAAAATAAAACATAAAGAGTGAATTATTAGTTAAATAGGTTAATTAATTTCTTCGTTAAGTTGGTTTTCTGTTAGTAATTCCTTCTAGCAACTGTTGGTATTACTATTGTTTATAACAACAAAATTCAGATAATAGGTTTAAACTTTCGTTTATAGTATACATTATTATTATGATAGAATAATCTAGTGACAATTGTAGAAGAAACTACATAGATAGATAGATAATTTATTTGCATTACTTTCAGCACACAAATTACAACATATATAGATATACATGAAAAAAAAAACATACATACATAGGGATTTTTCGGTATTGGGATCTTTATGCTTTCCCCTGTTTCACTCTACTAACGTGTAGATTATGTCATATAATATCCTTAAAATGTTGACTAGTTTGACATATCCTTAGTGCTCTGCTTTCAAATAAAATTTAGACTCATATTTATTTGTTAATGAATCACTTTTGAAATTACAATTGCATATCAAGTATTCCGTTAACTCTAATTTCTTATTGTAAGTTTTATAATGTGCTTGAAGCTAAGTACTCAATTCGTTATTTGCAATAAGTGCTTTACTATTAAATGTAATTATAAAGCATATATAATATTTTTTATATATTTAGGTAAATAATGACAACTGTTTTTTTTTGTTGATATTGATTTATTATAGTCATTCCTACAAACAGGTCCATATTATTTTAACACTAAAATTGATTGCCTGTATTGAAATAATTAAAACGATTTGATATGATTAACGTAATTAGTAGCACTGTTTATAAGTATATATTTAAAATGTTAATTGGATAACGTTATGCATTTGTATGTAAACTTTATCGATATTCTTTGATGAGGTACAATCAAAACAAATTGGTTAACTGTATATATGTTTCATTTTATAGGCATTCAAAAATATATAAATATATTTACATGTTAAACATCTACAAACATAAAATCTATACACATATATATGTAACACTAATGCACAGACTAACACTACCAATTCTATATTAGAGTTAAATAAATTGACGGTTTGGGTAATAAAAGTCACGTTATTGAAAAGTGCGCTATTAAAAAAACATAGTCCGTTTTTATTAAAGCATTTCTAATGAAATATTCCATATTGTTGTTTATGATCTAGCCACGGCTATTTATTATTATTATGCAGCAGTATTCTGTATCTTTACTACTCTCATTCTTCTAAATCTTTTATATACTTTTTTGCGGAAGTTTCAGTTGATTACCTACCCAGTTTGTCTTCAGAGAAATTTACTTTGATCGCTGGATTAGCAGCATTGAAGCTGATAGAACTTCATACGTGTTACGAATGTTAAGGATGCGTGAAAAGCGATACAACAATGTGACAGTAACGCCATCTATTATGGATCTATTATATTAATTACACATTGAAAGTGCACCATTCTAGAGTTTACACGAACTTAAAGGCTAACTAAATAATTTGTCTTGTATTTTATAAAACTAGAACAAAGACAGTTTAAGTTTTTTTTCTAGTATATCCTTTATTGAATAGTCTGTTGATTTTTTAGCTTAACTAACTTAGCTTAAATGAGAATAGAAACCTGGACAGTGGGGTATCGATATCAGAAATATGTTTTTTAATCATTATTTCCCATAACACTCAATATCATTTTCCATATGTTCAGAGCATGAAAAGTAACGACGAGTTTCTATTTTATTTGTAAACTAAAATATTTACTTTTAAATGTTTAAGTTATGAACCTGGAAAATGAAACATAGGAAGGGAATTCCACTTTTTTATTCGAAATTACTTCCTACTAGAGATCATATTAATATCCTTAGTAGGAAGAAATTTAATATACAAAAAGTGGAGGGGATAAATAATATTGTATTTTGTTATGACATCATTCCTAGAATACATTTTTGAAGTAAAAATTGCCAGTTATGGAGAAATAGAACATTAGTTCTCAGGAATAGCAACGAAGTTAGAGCACTATGGAGCCTCCGGCGGTAGGTACTCTTTAATTAATATTTACTATTTTATGATATGGATGTAATAATATCCATATAGATATGAATATTTTATAATAATTATTATTTTGGTTTGCTATATTATGGTACAACAACATGACAGTAGTAAATAAAGTCTCATCATATTCTCCTGTTTTCAGCGTACAAATATATAAAAGCATATAAATTATTATAAACACTACGGGTACAGCATAATTTTGAAGTCAATTACCAATGTTTGTAGTATATAACGTTAGATTTAGTAAATATTTTAATGTCAAAATTAAAATTTAATGGAAATAGATCACAATTGCATTGGTAGCATTTTTTTGTCATTTAGAAATTCATTAACAGATAAAAAAAGATTTCTATTAATATGTATAAAGATATCTCTAGACATGAATGGCTAGAGGCGATGGTTACTATTTTCATGTGTTGTCAAGAAATATATATGTATTTGAAGTTACAATACTCATCTGCGGCTTCAACATGTATTTATTTATTTATTTGTTATAAGTTACAATAACAGTTTGCAAACAGAAATGAACCATTAAAAAGAAAACAATACAAAAATTTATCAATACGCAGTTTGCCAACCTTACATTGTAAACATCATTGAACAGTAATTAAAGATGTACATTACATTACTGATTACAGTTATGATCCAAACTTATTCTATCTCAAAACCATACAACGACCTCTTAAACCCAATAGTACTCTGATGAAAGATATAATGCATGTAATGTATGGAAAATATGAATATGGTTAACGGAATTTGTTTATGATGTTGCAGTATTCTGTTGGGCTACTGATACTTGTGCCAAGAGATTTTGTATTCCATTGCCGTAACTAAGCCTACGTGAGGAACCTGCGCCAAGGTGACTGCGTAAACCGCATGTAATGCTCCTTAAAATTACTCCTAATTCCATGACATTAAAGTTCAAATTACAACATTCGCAAATCGGTCGCAATGCAGTCATATATTTTGTAATACTGCCACAACGCCAGACGCTGAAAATAAACAAAACCAAATTGGTAGATAAGCGGGTAATGTGTTTTCATTAAGAAAGCCAATTCCAATTTAGCTTTAATGATATTTAATTCACGAATAATATATATTTAGGATCGAAATCAATATACGGGAATAGTATTTGAGAAATAAATATGGTGAAATAAATTTATATTGAACAGGAATATCTTTTAAACTGAATTAATGTACAGTTTGACATGATAAAATATAAATATATATATATATATATATAAATAATATTATATAATATATAGGGCCATATTAGTAGTAGGTACTATATATATTTTATATTATTATATATGCTGTAAATATTATGCAAAAATTTTAATTTTGATAATGTTGTTAATAATAATCATATCAAAAGCGAACAAGATCAAGGTTGAAGCATCCTGTCCAATTTAGATCAGATTTAATAAAATTTATGATAACGTGGGTTGCAATAATACATAATTATCATTTGAATAAGGAATATAGATTAAATATAAATTCAATAAATATTAATGTCATTATTGTTATTACTATTATGGTAAAAATAAAAATGAAATAACATTTCAGACTAATGCCAAGCAATTAAGTTATTTTAAATTTTGGTCATACCTACATAATTGGAAAAATTAATTATGGTAGTTTTATTGGAGAGTATCGTGAACTTATAGTTTTTTATTTTGATTGATAATGCACTCCAAATGTTGGGAGTTTAAATTTAGAGGACAACAAAAAATTAGGATGATATTAATTGGAATGATTTAAATTTCCATCAAATTCTCTGATGGTAAGAAACACCATTTCAATTCGATATGCCATTTCTCAAACCTAACTTTAAAAAAATCATAGTTTAAAAATGCTGCTTATATGAACGATCGTCGAGAACTAAATTTTTATATCGTTACTCATTTTTATAGTTTGATATTACAACGAAATATATTTACGAACTAGAATTTTGTTTTAGAAATAGAGTTAGCGAATGGCGCTTTACAATCGACTCCATTATCAAATGTAATTATCAAATCCGAAACGCGGTCGTAGGCTATCTCTCTTTACCATGATATATTCAACAAAACATGGGCATGTTGAGTGTTGCGAGTACAGTCGACAAATGTTCTGTCTACCTCGTCTTATGTCTTAATATTTTATTTACGGAAGTTATATCATAGGTACTTATATATATTTGTGTTTGAAAATACCATCGTTTATTATTCAATTACGCTTAAATGAAATTTTGTAATATATGTAGATTATATCATGACTTACCACATAGGACATTGTATTAACTGATGTAAGCAAGTAAAGCCGCGGGAAATTACTAGTTGTAAACAGAATATACATATGTCTCCAGTCGAAGCCGTTACAATATTTTGACAAGATTAATATGAATGTGTACGATCCGCTTGTGGTACAGTTGAGTACACCTGTTTCATTTATTTTGAGACATGAATCGCCGTGGCTGGATTTCGCGGAGTGATTACATCGATAAGCTCATGATTTATTAAAACGAAACTAATTAAACTTAGAAAG